CTAAATGTATAGCTTCTCCTCAGATATCTCTCCCAAACTCCACACAGCAAATCGGACCCCGGCTTTTCTTTGGGACACTCCACATGGAAAAGGTCTAAGTCACCACTTTTTGGCAAACATTTACACTCATGGGGTCATTTGATTCCTGTATCAGTGAATAGGACCACTGTCACTGCAGTCAGAATGTAACGATCCCTTGTCCCACATCTTCCCATGCATTTAGTCACCATCGGTTCTGTCTCCTACATGTATAATGAATCAGTCCACCTTTCCGCATATCCTCTCTGTCTTCTTCCTATGTCATTAAAAGTTTGTTCCATGATCATTTCTCTTTAATAGTTCTTCTTCCTACCCAGTCTTTTGGCTCTTCCAGAAGTATAAATATGTCCAAGTCATTATTCTGCCCTATAGCATTTCAGCAGCTACAAAGGACCTGAGAAATACCTGCTGTGCTGTCTCAGCCAAGAATCACAGTGTTGGCTCTGCACACATTGTTACTTCCTCTGACCCAGGCCTGAGATAGTGTTTACTGGCATGGGCATGTCACCCAAGCTTGGCCCATCTCCCTCACCATAGTGAGGGGAGGTCCAGGGGTGAACATGGAACCTGAAATGGACCAATGGGAATCTTTCCATGGGACACATGTGTATTTACATAGAGGCTAGTTATTGACACTGCATGGATGGACTCTGAAAGCTAGGATAGACAGAGGTTCCTGATTTGGGAAGCTCCCAGGATCAACGCTGAGTTTCGCGAGTGACACTTATTTCAGTTTCTTCTTTCAGTTTTGTGAGTGATCTAAATATCTTTCCAGTAGTCTCTTCCATTCTTCATTGGCATATGCTTGTTCAGGCAGGCAACCCAAAGGAGCCTTAGTAGTCTGGCCCTAACAAGACATCATTCTTAGGTGACAGAAATAAGAAATTTCTTTACAACATACCCAGTGTGTGGTGTGTGTGTGTGTGTGTGTGTGTGTGTGTGTGTGTGTGTTTTCAGTACTGGAGACTGAACTCAGGTCTTTGTACTGAGCTACATCTCACAGCACTCTTTACATCTTACCCCCATGAGAACTGAATCCAGGGTCTTCACATGGAGCTACATCTCCAGCCCTTTTTATTTTATTTTGATATAGGGCCATACGAAGTTTCCATGTTGCTCAGCCTGGATGACTTGAACTTGGCATCCTCCTGCCTCAGAGTCACAGAATTCTGGAATTATGTACTACCATACCAAGCTCTTTGCTTGGTACCCAATACTTTTTGAAGTTTTACAAACTTTACTTGGGCATAGTAGCACACACCTATAATCCCAGTTACTGCAGAGGTGATATAGGAGGACTACAAATTCAAGTCCAGCCAGGGAAGTTTAGCAAGATGCAATCCCTGGGGTGCGTGGAGATGTCAATTGAGACTGGGCGTGGTGGTGCACACCTGAAATCTCAGTGCTTGGAAGGCTGAAAATAAGAGGATCACTATGAGTCTAATCTTTGTAGTTAGACCCTCACTAAATATATTCATTTTTATTATTTATTTATTTATTTTTTAAGGGAAGGGTCTAGAGTGTGTTCAGGATCTCACTACTAGATCAGACTTATAGTGATTCTCCTGTTTACAACCTCCCAAGTGCTGGGATTAAAGGCGTGTGCTATCATGCCCAGTCTCAATTGCTATCTCATCACACCCCAGGGGTAGGGCCGGCATGGCAGACCTGGGGATTGAACCCCCGGCCCCTGCGCCTGCTTTCAGGTGCTTTAATCCACTGAGCTATTTGGCTGACCCTACTAAATATATATTAAAAAGATGCAATCTCAAACTAAAATTAAAAGGGGGTTCTGGAGATGTAGTTCAGCGACTTAGTGGTAAAGCTTTTGTCTAGTTTGTGCAAAGCACTGGGTTCAATCCTTAGAAAAACTTTTTTTTACAAACTTTATGTCATTTGATATGATTTGTTTGCAGTGCTGGGAGAGAACCGAGGGCCTGGTTATGCTAGGCAGATACACTACCATTGAGCTCAACCCCTAGTTTCCAGATTGTGTACTGTGAACCAGGAAAGAAGGCATTCTTATGAACATGTTGTTAGAACATCAGGGCTCAGAGATGTAATGTGGTTTGCCCAAGATTAAGAAGCTATAAGTTAGGAGAGCTGGTCAGCAAAGCTCTCTCCACGGCCCCCTGGTCTGTTCCCTGCTTCGACACACACAAGTGCTACAGTGAGGCTATGAAGGACAGGAGCACCAATCAGAGGCCAAATGCTTTTGTTTAAAACTTCATTTCTAGCAGCTTTGGGTCTGCAGGAAAGAAAAACCCAAAATACAAAACAAAAGCAACTCTTGGCTTGTTTCCCTACCTCCTGTACTATTTCTTGTTCCAACACTTCCTGCTTTAGGTTTGCTGTCTGCTCTACAATTCAGTCACACTCTTGGCAATTACAGGCCTACAGAATAGCCTGCAAAGCAAATCATGGGTTACAATATACACACTGCATGAGTTGGGGCTGTCCTGTCCTAATTCTTTTTCATTTTTTAATAAATGAAAATAAAACAGAACTGTTCATCAGGGAGTAGCCCTGCTGTTTTCAGAAGCCACCCTGAGTTGCTGTAAGAACAGTAAAGCTTGGTGAATCTTGCAAGACAGCTGTGAGTAGCAGATGTGAGGCCAGTGGGGCCTGGGTTAGGGATGCGTGACCAACTGATCCAGAACTGAAAGAGACTCACAGGGTTGGCTTCACCCTCATTCCTCCTTGTTCTACATGCAGGCCTTTGTTCATACCCAGGATTAGGAGAAATGATCAGATACAGATAATCATTTTTCCACCGGAAACATCTTCTCAGTCTCCCTGCTCCTCTCCCTGGGAATAAGCACTGTATCATAGCTCTATCCTCAAGAATACGCATGGGCCAGGGAGATAGCTCAGTAGAATAAGCACCTGCCTGGCAAGCGCAGGGTCCTGAGTTCAATCCCCAATACCACATAAACAAACAAAAACAACAAGAACAAAAAATGCCCAGGCTTCCCCTACACCTGTTTAGCAGAATCACATCTCCCTCCTCTCCTGGATTATTCCTGACACTGTGCAAGTCTGCTCCAGTTTCTCCCATTTTAGCAAGCCCCTATGTAGTCTGACAAGGTAAAATGAGGTATGGTAGCAAGCACCAGAAAACAGAAAGCTAAGCAAAATTTATTTCTCTCATATACAAAGTCAGGAGGTGGGCAGATCAGAGGAAGTTTAGCAATGTGAACATTAGGAACCCACAGTCTATTCTAACTTGTTCCCCTAAAATTTCCAACATGTGGCTTTCACTACAAACCCTGTATGGTTGTGAGTTTCAGCCTTGTACCCATCTGTCTCAACAAGAGGAAAGAGGAAGACCGAGGAGGAAAGTTTCCCTTGATTGCTAATTTAGAGTTTGCGAGGGACCTTCCTATTGGCTGGAATGGAGTCACATGACCACATGTTGCTGTTGGGGGAGGCTGAGAAAGCTGTTTTTATTCTGGAAAAGCTTATGGTCAGGTAGAATTGAGAATTTTATAACGAAAGGAAAACAAGAGAATGGCCTTTAGGAGGGCTACCTAGCAATCCCACCAAAGGCTCCCCTGCTTCTTAGATCCTTCCCTGTCTGCTCTGCTCTGATAGGCATCTCAAACTCCATGAGCCCAAACTGAATTCTTCATGCTCCTCTTTGAGGGTCTCTTTCCTCTGGGCCACCCATGCCATACACGAGGCACTGCCCACACGCTCCCCAGAAGGACCTTGGAAGTTCCTTGGTTTCACTGTTTCCCTCCCATCCCGCTACAGAATGGTTGTGTCCTGTGAAGTCCGAACTTGCTTCTCTCAACCACTCATCTCAGCATGACCACTGCTTTCATTCAAACACCTATCACCTTTGGCCAGGGCTGAGGCAAAGGTGCAGTTGACTCCCTGGTGTTATCTCGGCCCTACAACCACTAAATGTATTTTCTTTTTTCTTTCTTTCTTTCTTTCTTTCTTTCTTTCTTTCTTTCTTTCTTTTTTTTTTTTTTTTTTTTTCACTAAATGTATTTTCCTCGCAGCAGTAAATCGGAGGCCCCTCGGGCCTGTGAGACCCGGCCCCAGCCCACCGGCTGGCCAGCTCCCGGGATCCTGCCCAGGCCTGACGCTTTCGCCACACTAATTTTCTTCTTGCTCCTGACTGACACTAGAGCCCACCCTTCAGGCCTGGTCTCCCCCAACTGTCCCCTGAGGCTAACTTCATTCTTTGAACTTCAATTTCAACATCACTTCCTCAAAAGATCCTTTGTTTGACTGCTTCATCTACAGCAGCTTTTGTTTCCTATCCCAGTCCTGCTTTTGTGCCAGTATTTATTCAACTTGCAATTATCTATTTGCCTTTTCCACAAATACAAACTACACGGAGGCAGATGCACTGGGTAGCATTGCCGGTGAGGCAGAGCCTGGAGTTGGGGGGTGGGGGCAGCAGCAGGCTGAGCCTCCCAGTGAAAAACAAAACAGGACTACACCAGACCAAAGCCGCGTCCAGTTTTCTTCACAATGGACCGTAGCTGCTGGTGGCCAGCGGGAAAACGTGGTGCAGGTGGCTCTGGCCCGGGAACAGGGCCGCTGCTGCCTGGGACCCGCGGGGCCTCGAGCATGGATCTCTGTGCAGGGAGCAGGTCCGGTGTGCCACAACAAGCTGAGCGAACCAACAGTGAGGTTAGCTGGCGAGGAATGAGTCTACTTCTTCCTCGCGCGCTAGTGGGGGTGAGGGAGTAGCCGTAGGCGGGGCGAGCATAGGGGGCGGGGCAAGGTGAAGCGGGGCGGGGCCATGTGGTCCGGAGTGGCGATCATAGGGCGGGGCTAAGAAGGTGGGGCGGGGCGGGG